TTGTTACTGGTAACAAAGAGAGTGGACAGTTTATGCCGAGAGGCACCGAGTCTGTGTGCCCTCCCTAGGCTCCTCACCGGGGGCTGTGTGCTAGGACTCACCGAGGAGGAGCAGGCACGGCTCAATGACCAGGAATGGACCTCAAACTCTTGGCATTGTCAGTAGGAACATCCATTCCAGCCAGCAGGAGCAGGGAGGGTGAGTGTCCGGGGGTATGCTGGGAGGGCCAGGGCTAGCATCGAGCGTGTGTACCATTCCAGGTGCTGGGATGGATCCGCAACGGGGAGTCCATGCTGAATGCTGGCCTCATCACAGCCAGCTCCCTTCAGGAGGCCGAGCAGCTGCAGCGTGAGCATGAGCAATTCCAGCATGCCATCGAGGTGAGGCCTCTCCCGCGGCCCCCACAGTACAGCCAATGGCGTGAGGCACGGGGCATCAGGTCCCCTCACACGGCCCCCACAGTGCAACATCAGGTCCCCTTCCATGGTCCCCACAGTGCATCCAGCAACGTGAGGCAAGGGGCATCAGGTCCCCTCACACGGCCCCCACAGTGTAGCCAGTTGGGTGTCACCTCCCCTCCCCGGGCTGTCAGCTCCCTCCACACGGCCCCTACAGCGCAGCCCATGGGGACACACAGGACCAGTCAAACCAATTGCAATCCCTCACCACGCATCCTGCTATAAAAGGTCTCCTGGGTGGGTGGGCCCCTGTCCTCCCAGATTGGCGTACCCGCCAAGACGTCTACAATCTGCTGTCTTAGACATATCTTCAGGCTGCGTGGCCAGTCTCAAGGAAGGACTGTGCTCGAGATGCCCTGCAAATCCTCAGACACACCCTGGTGCTGGCGGCCATGCTGGTGCTATGTCCCGTGATAGGCAGAACCCAAAGGAGCCTCAGCCGAAGGCTCTGGTCAGTGCCGGGCACCACACCCCCCCAGTGAGCATCACCGCGTGCACATTCGGTGTTGCAAAGGTTTCTTTCCCGTGGGGGAGAGGGTGACATGTATGGTGTGTGGGCTCTCATCAGCATCGCTCATAGCTCTAGATGAATTCATCTCCAAAAACTGGGAGCCGTCGGACACCCCTTAACGCTTGTCCCAGGGGCAGGGGCTCTGCTCACTTGGAAACTGTACTCTGCGTCCGGCGATTCTAGTGGCGACATTGCCAGGATGGCACACACCCTGGGCCACGCTTCGTGGGATCACTGGTGCTTTCTCTGATGAAACGCAGGATTTTCTTGTTAGTTTAAGAACCTGTCCACAGAGAAGCAGGTCCCCTCTGACTTCCCCTGGGCATGCCCTTCAGTGAACAGCACCTGGTCCTCCGCCTCACAGGTTCTTCGGATGCTCATCCAGGAGCAGATGCGTGTAAGGAACCGGCTGTTGTCATTTGGGTGGACTTCTTTTTTTTTTGTGGGGGGGTGGACTTATGGGGCGTGAACCCCCAGAAAATGCGGCTGGTTCATCCTCAGCGACGATGTTTGTCTCTTCAAAATCAGTCGCTCCTGAGGACTCTCCACTGAAGATGATGGCAAAACACACATGGGTCCCTTTCTTCCCGCCTTGCTCACACTGCTCACACGCCTGTTGTCAGCCGGAGCACCCACTGCAACAGCGTCTCTGGAATGTGGGTGGTGACAGTTTGTTAGTCCGGGTAGACTAGAGAAACAAATCTACGGACACTCGTGTAGAAGAAAGAGCTTTATGTACAAGACCAATTGGATATTGAGAAAGCATCCCAGCCCAGTCCAGATCAAGTCTCTATGATACCAATCTCTATATAAAGTCCTCTTCAGACTCACAAAACACATGCAATGACACCGAATGCAGGAAGATCAGAGGCCAGTGGGTGCAAAGTTTTGTGGATCCAGTGGCAGTGTAAGCACCTCAGTGCTGGTGTGCGTCTCCACGTGGCTCCTCCAGCTCCGAGGCTCTGGCTGCCATCAGCCTTTCTCCATGGGGCTTGTCAAGCTTGTCTTGCAGGTACTGGGTGTTTGTCCCACCTCCAGCGATCTGTTTCTCTCCTTAGCACCTCCAAATGAGGTCATCAAGCTATGACCTGATTGACAGACTAAACCCCACCCTTCACTTGTAAGTCTCAAGTTTGTGGAACTATCACACCACACAGTTCTTCCTTGTTCTCTCTCACACCGAGAGCCCCGACTGGAGACACAGGATGGAGATTCTTGATGCAGTTCAGCCTCCATCTTTCCTTAGATGATTACCCCTTCCAAGACAGGACTCCCCTTCCATGTTTTTTGTTTGCTGAAACCACGTGCTTTCTTTCAGTGAAAGAAATTTGTGTTTCGGAATAAAACAAATTATTTTCTCAAGGTAATCTGGGTTTTGATAATGTGTAGTGGGACACTTCAGTCCTGAGCAGTGTCTAGTGTTGGGCTTGGTGAGATGACACCCATCACACAGTTATTCGGGCCCCACGTGGGGGCTTGCTGTGGCTGTTAGGTGCCATCAAGTTGGTTCCCACCTACAGCTACTGACCTTATGCACAACAGAAGGACTCACTGCCCGGTCCTGCGCCATCCTCACGACTGCTCCTATGCCTGAGCCCATTGTTGCAGCCACTGTGTCCATCCATCTCCTTGAGGGCCTTCCTCTTTCCAAGCATGTTGTCCTCCTCCAGGGACTGGTCTCTCCTGACAACATGCCCAAAGTATGTGAGAACAGTCTCGCCATCCTTGCCTCTCAGGAGCACGCTGGCGGTACTTCTTCCAAGACCGTTTGGTTTGTCCTTTCAACTGCCCGTGGTACTTTTCCGTATTCCTTTCCAGCCCCACAATCCACATGCATCCACTCTTCTTCAGCCTTCCTTATGGGATGTCCAACTTTCACAGGCGTCTGAGGTGACTGAAAATACCATGACTTGGGTCAGGTGCACCTTAGTCCTTGCTTTTCAATCTTCTAAAGATCCACCCATGGGAGGGCATATACAAAAACAGCATAGCAGCTTCCTGTGCACTCCAGAGGCAGAGCGGGTAGGTGGGCTCTCTGTGTCCCATGGGTCGCAAGCAGTTGAGTATAAACCCAGTATCTCCTAGAGCATCCACTGCAGTTTTGTTTTGTCTTGATTTTCTTTCCCCTATAAAATACGTAAATGGGAGCGGCCCTTGCTGACGATGCCTTCTGTCGCCGTCTCCACTAGAAAACGCACCAGAGTGCACTGCAGGTGCAGCAGAAGGCGGAAGCCATGCTGCAGGCCAACCATTATGACATGGACATGATCAGGGACTGCGCCGAGAAGGTGGCCTCCCACTGGCAGCAGCTGATGCTCAAGATGGAAGACCGCCTCAAGCTCGTCAACGCCTCTGTCGCCTTCTACAAAACCTCGGAGCAGGTAAGGGGTGTGTGTGTGTGTCAGGCTCCTAAGCTCTCTCACTCCAGACCATTAACTTGGACTTGTCAGCGCTGAGCAAGTTAACCCCAAGTTAAGCAGGGGAGCATCGCATTCTGGACTTGACTCTCATTCCATGGGCTACCTGGGTGACACCAACAATTCCACGCTTAGCCACTAACCAAAACATTGGTGGTTCAAGTCCACCTAGAGTGGTGCCGTGGAAGAAAGGCCTGGTGAAAAATTTTCCGGAAACTCGGCCACCGGAAATCCAGTGGAACAAAGTTCTCTCCTGACACACCTGGACTCGCCGTGAATCCGAGTGGATTCGACAACAACTTGTCTGGTTTTTCGGGAGCCCTGGTAGCATCCTGGGCTGTGCCTTGACCACAGGGTTAGATGTTCAAACCCACCAGCTGCTCTGCAGGAGAAAGACGAGGCTGCCTGCTTCCAATAAAGATTGAGAGTTTCTGGAAACCAAAGGGGCCATCTGTCTTGTCGGGCCACTAGGAGCAGGGACCTACTCCATGGTGGTGAGTCTGCTTGGTGTTGAGTTCCAGGTGTGGGAAACACCGTAGACTGGAAAGTGCAAAGACACCGTTTCCTCTCTTTAACTACCAGGACACTTCACTGAGTTTGGGGGAACTTTCCGCCATCTATTTTTTTCTGTGAACATTTTGAAACTCCAGAGTCACACGCAAACCCAATACGCAGACTCACTGCCATCGAGTCGATGCTGACTCAGAGCGACTGTCTAGGGCCGGGTAGACCTGCCCCTGTGGATGTCCAGGACTGTGCCTCTTTAAGGGAGTAGCCTCTTCTTTCTCCCACGGTGTGGCTGGTGGTTTAGAACTCCTGACGTGTGGTGAGCAGCTCCCATCGTGTCACCGTGACACCACCAGGGCTTCTGGCATCCCGTCAGATAGAGAAAAGTCCACTTCTGTTGTATCTTTTTCTGAGAGCCCTGCCGCCTTGGGCCCAGGTGTGGGCTTGCCCGGAATTCAGGGAGCACCGTGGCTCAACTCAGCCCCCAGCGCTTTGGCCCGACCGATGGTCAGCATGGGCGCCGCGTGGTGCCTGGCCATCCCTGAACCTGTGGCCCTTTCTGCTTCTCAGGTCTGCAGTGTCCTTGAGAGCCTGGAGCAGGAGTATAAGAGGGAAGAGGACTGGTGTGGGGGCGCCGACAAGCTGGGCCCCAATTCTGAGACAGACCACGTCACGCCCATGATCAGCAAGCACCTGGAGCAGAAGGAAGCTTTCCTGAAGGTACTGGGGCCTCACCAGGCACCGTGCGCAGACCCAGGGGTTCCGGTCGGTGAGGACAGGTCAGAAGGAGCCCTTGGAATTACAGATCTCTCCCACCCAGACCCCAAAGGGTCGTGGCTTCTCAGAGGAGCCTCCCTTCACCCGCATGCACACTCCCTCACAGCTCCCACCTCCCACGCCAGGGATGAGAGACTGGTCAGAGGACGCCAGGGATGAGGTGGTTGATCAGAGGAAGTGCTAAGATCTTTTCCACGTGTGATGCACACCTCTTCCTAGTTTCAGAGAGAGCCGTGTGAATTAGGGATGGTTGGGAGCTCGTGGAAGCGCAGAACCACCTGATCCTGAAGACAGAGCTCGATTGATTGATTAAGCTGCCTGTAGGTGCAAAGAATTTTCCCTCGGGTGGTTCTGCCTCTTCGGGAAGAGATTGAGGGGTAGGGGGTAAGTTCGGGAGAGGACGCCCCTTGGCTTACAGGTCGGGAAACTTGGGAAGCATTTCCCGCAGGGGAAACCTGACTCCAGTCTGCTAGGCTGGGAGCTGTAACTGAAGAGAGTGAACTCAAGAGAAGAGTGTCATCTTTGTCTATCATGAGCACGTGCCATCGGTCCTGAAGATTTTAAGCTGGGGTCACAATGTTTCAAAATGTTTACATCTGTTTATAAACGTTAGACGTGAATGCACCGCGCTGCCTTCTTTGGCCCCAAGAAGAAGTTGGTGCAGGTCTGCGCGTTCCCACCAGAAACACACACACCCACACACCCCACCCACCCCACACACCCCTGCTCACTACCTGTCCACCAGTCCTTTTCCCGTTCCCACCAGAAACACACACACACACCACCCACCCCTGCTCACCACCTGTCCACCAGTCCTTTTCCCGTTCCCACCAGAAACACACACACACACACACACACCACCCACCCCTGCTCACCACCTGTCCACCAGTCCTTTTCCTTCTGAGGCGACTCTGCCCTGACAGCCTTACTGTTGAGTCTGGGAGAAGGAATGGTTTCCAGCGCAGAGTGTTTGTTTCGAACAGGTTGGCGTGGGAAAGCACTAAGTGCACCCGATTCAAATAAAGATCTGGGAGCCCACCCCCAACTTGTGTCTGATAACTTATTCATTAAATGCCCGCCCTTGGGGAATGTTTGCGGTTGGGAGGCTTTATAATTTGGCCCCGTTCCTCTGAAATCGCATGAGTGCAGCACAAACTCAAACCCCCACTTAATTGACGTCATCAAAAAGGCATTTCGTCATGATTACAAAAAGCTGGTGTGGATTACAAAAAGCTCCAGTTTTGCCACATACTAGTGTGCTGGTTGTCTTGAAACCTTTTATTGTGGAAACCTAAAAGCCTCCCAAACTAGTGAGAACCCACCGGGAACTCCCCCATCTTCCCCGGCACTGGCAGATCTGTCTCCCACATAGCTGCTGGACACCAAGCCACCAAAGGCCAGCCCACCGGCCCCGTAGCCGGCAGTTCGGCAGAGCACCTGCAGACCAGCATCTGTGGCTACTTGAGAATCAAGCGGCAGGGCTGAGTGGTTGCTATAAGGAGCCAGAGGCTGAGGACCGGCAAAGCCTAGAAGATTTGGCCCCTGCCCCTCCCAGAATCCCTCATCGGCTGCAGCAGGGAAAGCTAGGCCCCTTTGAAAGGGTATCCGTTACTGCCGCTGTGCCCTGCCTCGGGCCTTTCTCCAGGGCAGTGGGCAACACAGCAGTTGGCTTCATCCCTCCGAGGTCAGAGGGGCGGGGGTGTTTGTTTGCTGTTTGAGATAGGTGAAAGCTGTAGGCACACTGGTGCAGTATTTGGCCTGCTGCGCCCTCCAAACCATAGGTTTTAGGTAAAAGCGTGTTCTACTTAAATGCCATGGTCACCCCTGTTCGTGCCAAGTCAGGTTAACAGCATAACCTGCTCTCCGTGGTTTTCAGGCCTGCACGCTGGCCAGGAGGAATGCGGACGTCTTCCTGAAATACCTGCACCGGAACAGTGTGAACATGCCCGGCATGGTGACGCACATCAAGGCTCCCGAGCAGCAAGTCAAAAGTAAGTCCCGGGGAGGTGGCCTCCGTGGTCCCAGCCGGGGCCAGCACGAGATGGGAGGGAGCTTGTGGACTTGACAGTCAATCCCAAGTTGCCAACATCTGAGTCCCGGTCGGCTGGCGAGTGCTTGCCCTTCGGTGTTACAGAAATGTGCCCTCGCTCTGAAACCAGTGAGCAGAGCAAACGATCTTCACTGTCACCTTCACTGACTGCACTGCAGCCTTTCAGTGGTCAGAAAGGCTTGGAGCCTCTTGCACGGAGTCCACTGGCTCTGCATGTGTTTTGACTTAGAAGGATGTATAAGACAAGGTACAACTGCGCTGCAGTTTCCCAGACGATCCGTTTTTACCAGAGGAGAGGCCACACCTTTCTCCCGCCGATTGACTGGTGGGTTGAAACCACTGACCTTTTGGCAAAGAGCCGAGCCCTTAACCTCCAAGCCACCGCGGTTCTAAGTAAGAACCGCTCACACGCGTTTGACTTAAAGACACACTTGGGAACGGATCTGTTCATAACCCAGGGCTGAGTGTAGTTTAAACCTGCGTCCATTTCATCGCATAGCGACCCTACAGGACAGGGTAGACGTGCCCTTGTGGTTTCCTGAGACCGTAATTCTTCGTGGGAGTAGACTGGAGGATTGGCACCTACTCAATGGCAGTGAGTTTTGAGTAGATTTTATGTGTTTGGTGTGTTAGGTTAACCCTTTGCTAAACTATTATTGATTGGCGGGGTTTTTTTGTTCTTTTTTAAAAAATTCATTTTATTGGGGGCTCATACAACTCTTATCACAATCCATGCATATATCCATTGTGTCGAGCACATCTGTACATTTGTTGCCATCATCATTCTTAAAACATTTGCTTTCTACTTGAGCCCTTGGTATCAGCTCCTCATTT